CAAGCATACAGCCAAAGCTACCCAGGAGTTCATGAGAGCAAAAAGGTGGAATATTCTGCAATGGCCAAGTCAATCACCAGATCTCAACCCAATTGAGCATGCATTTCACTTGCTCAAATCCAGACTTCAGACGGAAAGACCCACTAACAAGCAAGACCTGAAGGCTGCGGCTGTAAAGGCCTGGCAAAGCATTAAGAAGGAGGAAACCCAGCGTTTGGTGATGTCCATGGGTTCCAGACTTAAGGCAGTGATTGCCTCCAAAGGATTCGCAAAATATTGAGAAAAAACTTTTTTGTTTGGGTTATGTTTACATGTCCAATTACTTTTGAGCTCCTAAAATGTGGAGTGTTTGTAAACAAATGTGTACAATTCCTACATTTTATATCAGATATTTTTGTTCAACCCTTTAAATTAAACGTTACAATCTGCACTTGAATTCTGTTGTAGAGGTTTCATTTCAAATCCAATGCGGTGGCATGCAGAGCCCAACTCACAAATATTGTGTTACTGTCCAAATATTTCTGGCCCTAACTGTAATTGGATTAACTCCGAGTTCAGTCATTTGCCCTGGATTTTAAGGGACGTCAGAATAAAGGAGGTTCATATTTTTAACTAATGTAAAGTTTTGAAAAACAAGTACTGTTTCACTTCTAATTCACACCTATGTACTGCTCTGTGTTTGTGTCGGTCTTTCACTTAAATTGTCAATACTCAAATTGAGGTTTGTGGTTGTAAAGTGCCGCAGTGTGAGAAAGTTCAAGGGACACGAATACCTATGTAGTGCATATTTCTGGAGTGACGAAGCTGCTCCGACTGACACAAATCCACAGCCACCCAGAGTGGCAGTGTAGCGACTCAGTTGAGGCTCAGTCGCTGTAAACGCGTCACCTACAGCACTGGATTTGGGAGCGTGTGTATGAAGGGATTGCCCGGCCAACTCCGGCTAATGCAGATATAATTGACTCTCCGTCTGCATTCTGCTCGTGGATTTGGAGAAGTGCACAGACTCATTGTGGAACAACAAATTAAGCCGGCAGCAGTCAAAGGGGGCTGCTGAGCCCTCCGCGAATGCAGACAACAGGCCGCTGAACTCTGCTAAATCTGCAAACACGGCTTCTCCCTCCTCTTGGCTCCACTTTCATCTCCACCGACATCTCCTCCTGCAGACCTCTGTGCCTCGTAAAGCCAAGTCGAACGCAAGTACTTCTGGCCCTCGACTGGTGAATGCAGATCAGCAGAAGAGTTACTTTTCTACATTCCTCAGTCCAGCAAAGTCAGCATCAGCTTTATAGACGCTCCTGTATGAGACTCATTCAATGAGTTTGCTGGAACCGCAGGAGATGTTAGACAATGTCTAACAATGCCATACATGTTCTGACTTTTGCTCAGCATGAACAAGTTCTACTTAATATATTGAGAATGAATCAATTAAAACCCTATCAGCTCCACCGCTGCAGGAAGCAGTTGTGTAATCTCTGTGGCACTCTGTAGAATTAGCTCTGCTTCATTTGGGCAGATCCGAAAGCAAATAAAGGGAAGTCCACACAGCTGGCCCTTGAGACTCTGGATCCTGGGTAAACAAGTGTCCAGCTCACCCACAGAGGACCATGAGCCACCGAACAATGGCTTATCCTCCACTAGAGGCCAGCCGGATCTGTGGCTCAGGAAAGTTTTATTACATTCAGCTTGTTGCAATCGACAGCAAGAAAGGGTTAAAGATGTCGCGATCAGTTTGAAGGCTGGCATATTTGCTTCCCTGATATTATCACTGGTTCTATTATTAAAAGGGATCCGATGATTTAACATGCAACTGCAGGACTGGGGAGACAGATATTGAATCGGTTTTCCGGGTAATTTGATCACTTTGAAATTGTACTTATCATCAACACTTTCGGTTTCCATTTATTTTGGGTCCACGCAGCATAGAATAGCTTCAAAAATATTGTCAGATAGTGTAAATATACCAAATAATCTCAGCAAATTTTTCAGCTTGATGTCGAAAGCAAAACTGTGAGATGCTTAATAAACATTTATAGCACAAATTTTGGTCCTCCTTGCTGTGAAAACTAAACATGTGTCTTCTTTATTTAGATGCCAAATCTTTTAATGTTTTCAGTAGAGTGGCAGGTCTGGACTAAAGGTGGGTCAGTTTGAAATGGTCTGCATGCGTATTACTCTGAATCTGTGGTGATAAACTGGTTATGTGTGTCTGAACATGTTAAAATTGATGCTCTTTAAAGTAATGATCACTTCCTGTTAGGTAAAACCCTCAACTTGAGAACATTAAATTTCGTTTGAGGATAAATGCATGTGATTACCTTCGCCAGTCCTCATGCTGACTTTCAACAAAACATTTCAGTCTTAGTTTAAGCTCAAGCATTTCCAAGGCTATTAGCATTTTCACCAACTCAGATGATTTCACTTCTGTCTCATTCGAAGCTGCTGTTTCCTCACTGTTTTGCCTAAAAGACTCTTTAATTGTTCATCTTGGATATTTCATGCTATAAACAAAGATATTATGTTAGGATCTCCCACTCTGTCATGTTACACACATTATCATGCATAAACTGTGGAGAATGAGGACATCTGATTTACTGCATTCACATTTAGGATCTCCACAGGATGTTCAGTTACTGGCAGAGATTAACCACGTGCATGATTTGATTTTTCTTTACTAATCATTAGACACTGCCTAAAATAATGGCCTAAGTCATTTTTTGCCAAAAGTTTTTTATTTTAGTTTTTTGCCCAAAACACTTTTTGGAAAGAAGGAGGTGGTTGGCAAAGGAATGTGACGATATAATTTAATGTCTGCAGTGCAGAAGTAATATGTAAGTTGACATTCATGATTTTGAACACTTTTCAATTTCAATTTAGATTTAATTTGTTTGTTTTTTTACTTTTCCTTCAGATGAAAGTAAGTAGCTACATCTTTGTTCTTTCTAAATGTTTTAATTTTTGTCACTGTAAAATATGTATAAAGTAATAAACTATCTTGACATGTAAGAATTGAGATCTAGATTTATTTTAACCATTATTTTCATGAAAGTTAACACTTATATTTCTTATATATTGGTGACATGCTTACAGTACATTTAAGTGCATTTGTAGAGCAATATAACCTATATAAATTGATAAAGTAGATAAATTATTAGAGATATGTTTTGATTTGCTCTACAGTACATATCTGTTGCATTTGAGCACACAGATGTATTAAATACACTTTTAATGGTGTTTAGCTACAATTAAACCAATTGAAACCAATTTTATACATTGGAATGATCAAATTTGAAACAAAGTGAATTTTAAAGATAAGGGAAATATATTAATGATCTCTATGACTGCAAATCATGAACGTCTTCCAAAATTCTTCACATTAACTACATACTTTTTCAATAAGGAAGTCAACGAAGCGCCACCTGGTGGCGATTTGGAGACGAACTTTGAGTATCTTTTTTACAGATCCTTATTGATTTGGATAATCAGCGACAGTATAAAGAAACGTCGTAGGATTGGGAAAAGATTAAAGATTTTCCAAATCAATTGGAGCTTCACTACTGAGAAAATACAATTTGTTGAAAACTATTTTTGGACATATCTGAAATTAGCACACACACACAAAACAACAATTTTCCAACAATATTACCAGTAAAATGTTAAAATATAAATTGGATTAACACTAAGTTAATAAAGAAATCAACTTTAAAAGTAATTATTTTTAAAAATCGGAATATGTTTCAAGAACAGACGAACGCTCGTTCACATTTTTATTTGAAGCCACAAGATGGCGCCCTCTCTCTTTACTCGATAGGAAAATCCACAGGATGAAATGGAATCCTGAGAAAGAAACTTGTGTGTAAATTATGTCTTTTGAAGGCAATAGTAAGCATTTAATATCCTGCTTCACATTGACTCCAAATATATCTACAGAGACACAATGTCGGGAAAACCTGGGGGAGACATTTCAGTCATTTTATTTGAAAAACAAAAACACCCTAAAACTTAGTCTTTAAATGACGAGCGTGAACTCACGTTAACAAGAGTATGGCAAGGTTTATTCCTGCCTCTCTATTGTATTCTATTCTATTTTCCATAAGTGGAAAGTGTCCACATTACCATCCTTGTTTTTTATAGGGTTAGGCTCTATAATCTGCGATTTTTGGCACGTGCTCGGTGCAAACCGTAGAAGAGACTGTGCGCGAATGGCACGCGGACAGATGTGGCCCTCTCGCCCGCCACCTCCTCTACCTCTGCGAGCTGCTCCCGCTCCGGGATGATTGACACAGAGGCGGCGGCGCAGCCAATCGCAGAGCGCGCTGCCTCATTTGTGTAAAGTGGCTGCACGCCATTGGCTTGGAGCGTGCTGCTGCGGACCGCCTCGCGTGCCATTACAGACGTCTCCTTGGAGGCGCATAAGGATTCCTAAAATAGATGGACAGCGCATTTGTTGTCAGGCTTAAAAGGGATTTATTAGTGATAGAGTTTTTAAATAAACAATAAAAAAAATAATATACTTTGCAACGTGTAAGAAGTCAGTGGAGCGCGTTATTTCTTACGGGAAAAGTCGAACATTAATATCCACTCGTACAAAATATGTTGTTTCGCTCTTACTTTGTTTACTTGTTTCACTAAACTTAAACTGGTAAAAGTCAAACCGCATTCTCTCCAGACAAACACAGTCACACACACACATATCTCAGGCAGCTTTAAGATTTTTGACGCGTAAGAAGCAAAGTTGGAGGCAAACATCCAGCGAATTCCCCCCTCCTTATCACTTCACCGCCCGGCTCGGCTCTCGCTTTGTTGTTTGTCCCCGCAGGGCTGATTGAGCAGCGCGTGACTGACGGCCCGCGGGGGTGTTGTCCAATCAGCGGTCTGCCCCGCGCCCAAAGGGTGAGTCCTCTCTGCTATTGGCTGAGGCGAGTGTGGGAAAGAATGCAGAGAAGGTTTCACACGAACTGGGAGCACGCGAGCCGCCTATAAGTACCGCAGCAGCGCGTGTCGGCGGCATAAGGCGTAGAGAAGTCGATGCGCCCGGCGCCACGCACGGTTCCAACGCGCTCCGGTTCTGGATGACAGCTCGGCGATAACGAGCGGAACAGTTCAGGCGGAGCTTTGATGTTCCGCAGTGGCGCTTCGTGATTTTTTTTGTTTTGTTTTTGTTGCTGCTGTTTTTAATCTCTCGCTGCGATTTCCAAGAGGATTTTACTTCTTCAAGTTGCTTATTTCTGTTAATGTCACTTCGAACCTGCTGTGATCCATAATGCCAGCAGACACTATGGAAAAGCAGACGGCGTCTCCCATCGCCGGAGCTCCTGCCAACGGATCACACACACCGGACAAGCCAAAAAATGCCAGCGAGCACAGAAAGGTAAGACTTGGAACGCGGCTTTAACTTGTCCGGCTGTCATTCCTGTGTAATAGTTCGCGTTCACAGAAACTGTGCGGGAATGTTTACGAGAGAACGTCTCGGTTTCTTTACAGTCGTCGAAGCCCATTATGGAAAAACGACGAAGGGCGAGAATAAACGAAAGCCTTTCGCAGCTGAAGACCCTCATCCTGGACGCACTTAAGAAAGATGTAAGTTCAATGGAAGTGTTTCTCTAAAGTGAGGAATATGTGCTTAGATGTGGTCTAAACCCTCCCTGTTCCCTCATGCAGAGCTCCAGGCACTCCAAACTGGAAAAGGCAGATATCCTGGAGATGACGGTGAAGCACTTGAGGAACCTGCAGCGCATGCAGATGAGCGGTGAGTTTACTTGTTCTTGCACGTGTGTCGGGATGCTCGATTAAACCCCACTTCAAGCAGCGGGAGCCGCAAACACGCCACTAAAACTTCTTCTTCTTCTTGGTCTTTGCCAGCAGCGCTCTCAGCAGATGCGACAGTGATGAGCAAATACAGAGCCGGATTCAACGAGTGCATGAACGAGGTGACCCGCTTCCTGTCCACTTCAGAGGGAGTGAACGCCGATGTGAGGTCGCGGCTCCTCGGCCATCTGTCCAGCTGCATGGGTCAGATAATGTCCGTGACGTACCCGCAGCAGGCTCCGTCCCAGCCGGCACACCTGGCCCAGCCCCTCCACGTGCAGCTCCCATCCACCCTGCCCATCAGCTCCAAGCTCAGTCCCGCAGAGGCCGTCTCTCCCAAGGTGTTCGGCGGGTTCCAGCTGGTTCCCGCGACAGACGGACAGTTCGCCTTTCTGATCCCCAACCCGCCCTTCGCCTCCACCGCCACCACCTCCCCTGTAATCCCCCTCTTCTCCAACGCCGGGGTGCCTATCGCGGTGAACGCCAGTCCGGTGCACGGCAGCTCCGCGCCGACGGCGGCGTCTCCAGTGCACGGGATGACGTCCTTCTCCGGGGTGCCCCAGGTGGTCAGTCCTGTGGGGGTGAACGCCGGAGCGGAGAGCAGTGAAGCGGTGTGGCGGCCTTGGTAGCTCAAACAAAAAAAAAAAAAAAGGGGGGGGGGTGGTGGGGGGAGATCCAGACACTCGCAAACTTTCCCAGATGAAAGTTCTACCTGAAACTTTTACGCAGCTGTTGCGGGGTTCAGCCTGCGACTTTTTCCTCTCCAGGATGGCGACTTTAACCACTCATGCCTCCCCCCCCCCCCCCCCCCCACTAGTCCTGAATGTTTCGTTTTATGGAACAAATGTTGCTAAGAAAAAGAAAAAACAAACAAAAAAAAATAGTAAAAAAAAAAAACATCGCATGTCTTGGTTTTTTTTCTTCTTTTATTCTAATTTATTGTTAACTCCAATATTTGGATGTCGGTGATAAAGGTTCAGACAGAAGATTTATAGGAAGCCTTTGTTATGAAGTACTTTTTATGAAAAGATTTAGTTTTGTACAGAGCTGTTATTGATTGTTATACCAAAGCTGTTTTATATTATGTTTTGTGTTTAAAAGAAAAAAAAACTGAAGTTGGGTGGTAACCCAGGGTTTAAATAAATGAGACTTTAAAAAAAAAAGAAGGGCTTCAGTTTGCTTTTGTCATGCCTTTTTTTTATGTCGTGCGTAAAAATTACATTTTGTGCGTAAAAGTCAAAGGGATCATATTTCTGATGTAAGGTCCAAAGTCTCAAGCGGCACCTTGTCAACTAGTTTGGCGGGAGCTCCTTACATCTGGCCTTTTAGAGACTCGTCCCTGCGGACAATGGAGGGCGCGTTTTTTCTTTCTTTCTATTGCTATAAAGGTAATTAAAAGTTTGAAAGGGGGTCTCATCCTGCATGCAGCGGGAGGTTTAAGAAGTCTTAAAGCCCATTCATGAGCCTGGGAAATGCGCTCAGGGGTTAATGTCACTAACAGATTGCCTCAGTGAAAGAATATGGAAGGATCCTCGCTGTCTTTTGTGCACCGATTGTTCAATTCCGCTCCCTGTGCGTCTGCCTCGATAAACGGGAGAACGTCCCTCAGTCCCACGTGCATGCGCACTGAAAAGGCCCCCGCGTCTCTTCCATGCTCTGTGTTTATTCCCACGTAAACCAATATCTCCCCCGTTCGCAAGGCCCCGGACCTGAGGCGCAGTGTTCCTGTTTCAGGCGGCGTTGCGCTGGCCGTGTGTCGGCCGCCCGCGGTCGGCGTCCCCCTTGACTTCGGATCAAGTTACGGCGTGGTGACCGCCGGTCAAAACCCCTCAACATTTAATACTGCACCGGCGCACGGCCTTGGACGCGCATGGCCAACGCAGACCTGAAAAAAGAGAGTCTATTCCTGGAGCCACAGTTCTCTCTGTGACTCTCACACTTAAAAAAGTAAATAAATAAATACAAATTTAGGCTTTTACCTTGAAAGACAATTGTATTCAAAATATTCTGATATTGGGATTTCTTATGTTTGTCTTCTTTACATCTTATAGATTGGCTTATAAGCAGGATATGATTGAATTATTCTTATTATTATGTCACCACAATGGCGACAGCATTATACTTTGGGATGATGTGTACATGAATTTCTCACATTTGTCCTTTTATGGACAATATTGTCCAATTATTTATTATTATTATTACTGTTGGCATTAGTATTAGTCTGTTACTGTGCATCTCTTGAGTCTTCATCACATGAGGCCGAAGTGAACTCTCGTGGCATTTCAGGCAAAATTTTGTGTTGGAATACAAAGTCTCCATTGTGAAACACGGTGATGGCAGAGTCATGCTATGGGGAGGCGTATTGAGCTAAAAATCAGCAAACAAGCAAACAAACAAGACAGCCCTAGAACAACCCCCCATCTAAAGGGTGCAAACGATTTTAGACTGAGGTGGAAGTTACAGACGAAAGCGCAAATGTATCTCCAGGAATCTTTACATATTTGAATGTTTCACATGCTGAAATGATTGTGGTGGCAAATTCTCACAGCTCCCGGTTTTTACCACGCGTGTCTTTGCAGCTGGACTCCAGTTCATTCGTGTACTTGCCTCCGGCGCGCCGGTGCCCTGCAGATGACTCCGCCAGTAAACTGGCATGCCGAAACTCCGCAGCGAGTGACGCTTCAGCAGCTTCCTCCCTCGCGGAGGCATACTGAAACACCAGTTGGCAGCGTGTGTGGGTTCTGCGGTTGTTCCTCCTCTTTCGCGTCTGAGTTAACAGTTCAGATATGCCTTTATGGAGCTGAGGTCGTGAGAACCGAGCGAACTAGTCTGCCTGCGGCCTGGCGCGGTGCCACTCAGTAATTCCCCGCCGACTGGCTGGGTCGTGTTGCTGCTCTGCGGAGGTGAGGAGGAGAACACATAGCGCGCGTGGACGCCGAGTGCGCCTGGTTCCACGGTGGTTGTGGGGAAGTTATATTATTTCATAATAAGTCGTGAAAAATAAATTGAAATAGGCTATGGGTGTTTTTTTTTTCCTTTTTTTTTTGCAGTGATTGCATAGCGCAACCGAAACCCATATAGAAGACGCTTCAATGCGCTCTGTGCAGCAAAGCCGATTTGAACCCAGAACCTGGGAAGTTCTACTCAACCGCCAGAAGATGCGGGTTTTCCAGGCGTTACAGCAAAACGAAACGCGGGAATCCGTCCCCATTCCTGCGGAGAGCTGGACGTCCCTTGGGGATGTGCGCAGCCGCGTCCCTTGGGAGAAGTCACCATTGAAGGGGGGGAGGACGTGGGAGGTCGGGGTCATCAGAGGAGCCACAAATTATCATTCTCATTAGCGAGTGAAAGGCGGGAGCGCGCGCGCGCACGCGCGCGCGCAACGCCACCGCCAAACTTTTAACGTCACTTTTCCCTCCAAATCCACTGTTGCCATTGTCGCCAGGCGTTGTTGTTGTTTAGGTAACACTTGATACTTTTTCGCCTGGAGTTTCAGACAGTTAAGGTGAGTTGTATGTACATACACAGATGCAAGTCATGGTTGTCAGGGAAGACCGGAACTGCTGGTCCTTTTTTTGTGAGGGGTGAGGGGGGGAGGATCCATGTCTTTGAATCTCACACGGTCTTGTAACATCAGATCCACAGACATCAGTGGGTTTTATTCCGATGACCAAATAGTGAAACGAAAGAGCAGGAGGAAGCTCTGCTGCGCTGGGGACTCCCAATGCTGAAATTTAACAGACCATCAACAAGAATGTATTGTTCATTGAAAAGAGAGGGTTACAAAACTTGTTTGAAAAAAAGTTCATGGTATGAAGTTTAAATGTGATATTTATACGAGTTGTTTATTTTGTACAAGTACCACAAACAGCTTAATGAATTGTTGTGGTAATTTAGCTATAATCTGATGCCGCAAGTTTAATTTACAATATTGGGTCCATTTGGAAACAGTTCTTATGCCCTGCAAAATCCTGAAATGTGGCATTTTATATTCAGACCATTCTTTGCGCTCATAGGCCTAAATGAAATCTAGTGCAACCAATTTGCCTTCAGAAGTCCTCTAATTATTAAGAGTGTGAAACTGTGTAATTTAATCTCTGTATAAATGCAGCTGTTCTGTTTGGCATTCAGAGTTTTGCCAGAGAACATAAGACAAAGACTGTTAAAAGCTGCTAAAAGCTTGACCCCAGGGCAGAGATTCATCTTCTGGCAGGACAATAACCCTAAACATCTTCCTTGCTATACAACAGAATGGTTTAGATCAAAGGATAGTCATGTGCTAGAATGGCCCAGTCAAAGTCCAGACTTAAATCCAATTGAGACCAAGTGGTGAGGAAGGGAGCACATTTCGCTCTCTGACAGGGATATACATGGAAAGATATGCAGAGTTTTATTTGGTGGAGCATTTAGGAAGCCATGCAGTCTTTTCCTTCGACTACAGAGTTATTCATTCATTTATGTTGATCCATCATAGAAAATCTCAATCAAACGCCAGACTTTTGTGGTCCTTACATATCAAAATGTGACAAAGTTCAAAAGATGAGAAGATTTTCATAGGGCATGGCATATAGTTAACAAAAGCTGCAATCTGATAAGATATTCAGTTTGCTACTAACGTAATAAATGATGCATCAGTGAGGAAATGACATCCTCGTCCAAACAAGCCATCAGGGGGGAGGTCACATTTAACATTTAAACCTGTTAGCAAACATTTTTCAATAACGAAAAAAAAAAGAAAAAAAAAAAAAACGAAGGCCGAAATCTTTTCACTGAATCAGAATCGCAGCCAGGTGATTTTCTTGGTTAAAGTTCCTCCTCCTGGATTAAGTACAGAAACTAGGAATACTGGCCACATTGTTCACTCTGGTGATGGATTGTTGAGAGCTGCACTCCTCGGAGTTTCACACGCTATTTTTGCTCGTTGATGTGAGGACGCTGCTGCCACTAAGACAGAAGGAAATGTTCTGCATGCTTTGGCCACAGGTTCTGGAGAGGGAATGGCTTACATATGTGCGTGTGTATGCGTGCGTGTGTGCGCTTGTGAAGGCATTGCTCACACCTGTTTCTTTGAGAAACAGAGAGGGCGTCAGGGAGGGGCGGATAAGGACGAGGAGACAGATGGACAGATATAGAAAGGCAGGGACGCGATAAAAAAAAAAAAGTGCTGAAACTCAAATAAGATCTTCGGACGTGTGCTTTTAGGATGTTTCAGGCGGTCCAGAGTGAACTTTCCTTTTCCGTGACCTCCCATGTGACACCTTATTAACAGGTGTTTATGTTTTTATGCCATCCTTCTCACCCTGTCTGGTCTTTCTTGGCTCCATCCAGGCTTTCACAGCACTTTTTATATTTATAGCAAGGGACCACTTACCCCGGCCCCCTGGGCGTGGGTCGGAGGTGTGCAGCAGGCCAGGCAGGATGGACCGGCGCACGCAGATGTGTCAGGCCAGGTCAAATATCACAGGGTTCGAGTGCCGCGTGGCCTCTGTTGATCCCCGCCGCTTGTCTGCAGGACGTATGTCTGAAGCCAGGTTTGGCTTTTCAGCAGCTTCTTCGGTTTCATGGCATCAGGCCTGCGGTTTACAGCCTTGCCGCTCATGCAGATTCCAAGAGGGAAAGTGAAGGGTCCTCTTGACAGGGCTAGAGGTCAACCAGCAGGCTCCTAGGTGGCCTCACAGGAGCCTCTGGGTGCTTTTGATTTTTGGTTTTCTACAAGGATGGGTCAACTACTTCAGCTTTGCCAGCTGTTAAGACATTTTAGTAGCTTAGCCACTCCGAATTGTCCCAAATTATATCTTAATTAAATTTTTTATGTAGGAGATAAAAAAAATGGAAACATCTTGGTGTAGCCAAGTGTTGCTAATGTAAAAATAGCAATTTATCATAATTCCAATATTGAAAACATGACAGGTGACAGTTTGACATGTTTTAGTTTTAGATGTTGCAAAATTCTCATGTTTGCTTCTTTTGTTTTATGTCACAAACAGAAGACACATTCTGCTTAAGTCTAGTTCTAAAACACTAAACCAACATCTAAACATAAACAGATGTGAATCGCGAACGAGACAACTCAATATCTCCACCTAGTGCATGAAACCCACCCCGCCAAGATGACATGGTGCGTGTGGGTGCATGTGGGTGCATGTGGGTGCGTGTGACTCATCTCGTGTCGAACAACATGCCTCGACTTGTCCCCAGTTTGACACTTCACAAGATCATTTACCGTGATCTTACCCATGATGCCACCGTCTCTGTCTGTTGTTTGTGGGCGAGTTCTCTTCCTCTTTTGTGTGTGTGT